AATACTTATATATGTTTTAGTCTCTTATCGATTTCGTCCAGTTAAGTGATATTTCTGTCAAATTTAAGGTTTGTGGGGGGGTTTATTACTAACATGATTTTGTTTAGTTTTTTTGTAAATAGTTCTTAACCATATTGTTCATAATCATTGGGGATATTTAACTTGTAGTTTTTTATTCCCCTCCCCCAACAGACAACGTTTTGTACATTTTAGGATTTTCATTGAGACAAAGAGGTATTTTGGTGGATGTAGCAAGAAAGGTGAGTATAGATGTGTTGTTTTGGTGGTAAGAATATTGTTTTGTATGATTGGTCAGTGGTTGGGGCTAGCTAAGTTTTAAAATTAAGACAAATGATGACCGTCCTTTACCCCATCCCCCTTTTTAGACCTTGGGACACATTTTCTGTAACTTTTACAGAAATAAATATTGCCAGTTTTACACTGACGATCCGTTTAGGTGAAACCTAGGTTGGTTGGCCTTGCACTTTAGGTTTATATATATATATATATATATATATATATATATATATATATATATATATATATGTATGTATTAGGCCTACGACCATAACAGGTTGAAATAATAATTGCGATATCAATCTCTAGGCCGGACAGTTTGCACTTGGACACAGTAGTAACGAGCAAGCAATAACTGAGCAGTAAAAAAATTGGCCAGCTTGATGAAAAACAGTCTATCTCCGTAGATTAAGTAATATATATATATATATATATATATATATATATATATATATATATATTTGTTATGCCAAATTGGAAAAAGTTTACTTGTAATGCGTGTTGTCTTTTACGAATTCATTGTACTAAATTATATATATATATATATATATATATATATATATATATATATATATATATACACACACAGAGAGAGAGAGAGAGAGAGAGAGAGAGAGAGAGAGATAGATAGATAGATGGGGCCATATCACGCTGGAACATTGCATTTGGCATTATCCCCAAAGTTAAGCTAATGTACACATTGGTCAGTACCTATATGTTCGGCTGCTGAATGATATTGGATGTGTGTAGGCTGTAATGGAAAAAGACTCAGAAATGGAAAGTTTCAATTCCAGATGGATTCTTTATATTCACTTACTAGCAAATAACCTTGGAGAAGGTATAAATCAACCTGTTCTTCCCCCTATCTATGGGTTGATTAGTATGGCCTGTATCAGTAAAGCCTCAGAAAACAGAACAGTTAAATGTGAGCTTATGTTCTACATACAGACAATGGTTTACTGCACTTTAATGATGAAAGACTACTGTAATATAAAATGATTTTCGGTCACTTTCCCGCCTCTGTGTGGTAGACTCCTCTTGTCTTTTCTATAAATACTTTCATATTAAGCGTTCTGGTGAATTTTCTTCGACAGTACACAGACTTTATCAATTTATGAACAGTACCAGATTGGCGGTAATGTCACGTCATTTTACCCTTTAAAATCCTAGATGTAACCGTATGGTTTATGTTAACAATTTCTTTTACCACCTTGTTTCACTTGTTGAACTCTTCTCCTGCTTGTTGCTTCCCAGTCAACTTTGATCTACAAACATATAAGTACAATATCAATCGTTATCTATTGTCGTCTTAATTACTTTTGCTCTTTTAATTGTTTCTATACTTTTAATAGTGTTTTTTCTCATATTCTTTAACTTTAAGTAATCCCTTCCATCTTAGGGAATTTATTGTATTATTTGGTGTGAAATCAGAAAAAAAAATGTATATTTTTTTTATTATAGTTTATTGTAGTCAACAGTAAATTTGATATGTTTACTTTTCCCGTTTTGATGTAAATATATCTCGAAGACATTGTCTTGTCAACGAGCATCATTAGCTTGACACCAGATAATGTAACGCAGACGGATGGTAAAATTGTAATGCAGGGAAATTCGTATAACTGTATAATGCAACACACTGTGTGTTATGGTGTGTTCTGTAGACATTTGAAGAAAAACATGAAGGTCTACTCCACATGCACGTCCACGGTATAAAATTGTTCCCGGTGTTGTCTCAGGCGATCGATTTCAGGTCACCTGGATCCTGATAGTTCTTTGGCTTCAGAACAAGAACTATCAAAAAGCAGCACGTAAATCCGTGAATATGCTTTTGTGATGAGATCGATGACACGTTTCCCTTTGGCAAGTCAAGAATCACTAGAAATGGGTACCTAGTCAGGATACATTGAATTAAGCTGGTAGACCGACGTGTTACCTGAAAAATGCAAAAACGTCAGAACATCCTGTTAAATAGTTGAGGAAAAGAGTACTATTAATCCCCCCGACCAAAAAAAAAAAAATGAAAAAAAAAATATTTTGAAAAGTAAAAGTAATGTTTTGTTAACAATGTTCGACTTCTATTTACATTATTAGGACTATTGTCGTCATCTTTGTCGCCATATTTATTACAAAGTTTTCGGCTGTTGTACGCTCCGGCCTTTTTCAGGTAATTGGAATGTCGAACTGAACCCTTTATTTCGCTCACTGGGGTAGAATGTTCTAGTTCCATGTGTCATGTTTTTAATGAATATCAGTTATCAGTTATCTCCTGTTAATTCCCCTGTCCAGTTTCTCTACTGCCTTAACCGGGTATTGAACGCACACTGTTTGGGTTCTGTCACTGGATCTAACCAACGCTTTTATCCACTGTGCCAGGCGTCCTTGGGGCTTTGGAAGCAAGCTGCCGGAAGAGAGTTCCAAAAGCGAGAATACGACAGAACAAACTATTAGCATAATATTATCGTCGCATAGAGTTCTTTCAACTGTAAAATGATGATTCCTTGTTGACAATCTAGTACTACGTTTAAATTCATAAATCTTGTTACGACTGCACAAAGTTCATCAGAACAATTACTATGAAAATATTTATAGAAAAGTCACAGGGAAGCTAAATTACGGCGGTGGGAAGATGACTGAAACAAAGATGCCAGATCAAGACCAATGATATTGCAGATTCTTCTTTGGATTTTATCAAGGATGTCTAAATATATAGCAGGAGCATGCGGATATATATGGCAGCAAGGTTTTAAGTATGGACGAACGGTAGATTTATAAATATATATGATTATGGAGAGCAAAATTGTTTAAACATGACGCAGCTAATCAACATTCCTATTAGCAAGCCCAACAATTAATTCAATATAATCTTTTCACTTCATGTCAGCGGGAAAATGTCAGTCCGAAAAGGTTGCAAAGAGTCACTCCTGTAGGTTAGCATCAGTTATACCGATGGAAGGCAGAAAGATGTCTCTGATGATTGATAGAGAGCAGGTTCGTTTTTGAGACGTTAAAATTATCAAGCCATTCCTTACCTGATTTATCAGCCGATTGTAGCTCATTTCGAGCAAGTTGGACTTATCAAACTCATGAGATTACTGTTAAGACAGGAGTACAGCATACAGACTGAGTTGAGAAATGAAGCCATCTAGAAGTTATTTGATAAAAATCAAGAATAACCTATGTCCAATAATAATGTTCAAACGAGCATCTGTATTAAAACGGACCATCACTAGAATAGTAACAATATTTCTGATGTACAATTCCTAATTAACTGCTGAATATATGCATCACTTCACAATGATTAATTTCACTAGGGTGAGTTAATTGCTACATATAAATTTTGGTTTGGAGACAATGTTCGCTGCAGATTAAGGCAAAGCGTAAATAAAATATTGAATTTTTTACTATACCTGGGTAACAATTTACTGTGAGGTGCCTCGCCCGTCCTCGTTTCACGTTTTGTACTCGGTGCAATGACTGCAACACGAAGCGCTATTTCCTTATAAATCAGACGGACAAGGACACGCTCGGTTTAGCGAGTGTAATCAGTTGCATTGGCAGTGGCACTCAGCTGTAAGATAAATTTCCATTACTCCACGCGTCATGTCTTGTAAGTCTAGCAATTAGTACACAGGTCGAAGTGTGCACTTATGCAGTCTCTTCTCTTGCGCGCAAATGCTTTACTTTCCCACTCAAACAGCTAGTGAATGGTGATTTGTTCTTCCTGTAATTTCTTTTATATATCACTCGATCCATTGCAGCTTACGAGAATCGTGAAAAATTAATTAGGATTTCTTTTCTTTTTCTTTTGTTTTAATTCTTGCATATGATCATTCTCGTCTGCGACTCTACAGCGAAGAAACATGATTGAATCTAACTTCTTACGGTCGGAACATGTTGAAATAGCAGGTTTTCTACGATAATCGATGATAAGCAATGTCGAGCCTGGTCAGTTGATTAATGGAGCGCCGAGTTCCAATTCCAACTGGGTTCGTTATATTCATTATACCTGAATGCCTTTTGTGAAACGTATGGTTTAGTGTCTTCTTGTTGTGGTAAGATCCACCTAATTTGCATAGTGGAGTACCGACCATATAAATATGGTTGGTACCGGGAAGAGAGGGGGGAATCAAGAGATTCAACCAGAGACGCTGCCCGACTGCGACTCAGTCAACACATTCTCCAGGAACGGTCTTACCAGGAATATACAAAAGACTATATGTAAATATTGTGTACACTTTCTTGTTTCAATACATTTTGTTCTAAGTACATTTTGTAATGTATTATTATTCCATGCATTAGTCAAGTTTCAACATTTCTCTTCCTAGCTATGGCTTAAAACAGTATACATCCTTATTATCTCCAGCATATTATTACAATGTAAGAATATTTGTGACTTAAAATAACCTTGGAGACCTTGTCAAAAAAGTCAGAGGTATGTATATTCGAGAACTTCGTGTTCAAACTTATCGTGCCTATCTTAGAGAATTACCTTTCCCTCGCATTGGGAGTATGTATAACATCCTGTCATAATTTGAACTGTTATATTTAAGCTCAGCCAACACATCCTTCGTGGCCCAATTCTGCTCTTGGCTGCTACGAGATTAAATTCGAGGTCACCATTTTGAGGCACTTAACTCTTTTGACGTTCTGATGTGACACCGAATACAAAACTTAGTTTATGTTCTCTTAAAATGGACTCGGGCTTACGGTCATATCAGGTTGAAACATCGGTTCTCCTACGATCACTAAGTTAAACAACATCGGACTTGGTCAGTAGCTAAGTGGGTGACCGCTTAGGAAAACCAAGTGCTGTAAGCTTGAATGTGCGGTTAGTGTAATAGATAACGGCTTGGATTTGATAAATCTGTGAGCTGGTTCGTTATATTCACTTAAGCGCAAATACCTTCGTGAAACGTATGAATTCACCTCTTCTACTTCTAACTTATAGGTTTAAACAATATGACTTGTATCATAAATCATTATTATCTCCACCATATTGTTACTATGTAAGAATATATCTGACTAAAATTAACCTGGAAAAAAGATTGTTCGATCGAGAAAAAACAAATCAATCGTTATCTAACATTTACTTTTGCTGTTTCACAGCAACTATCGAGCAATGTTTTTGCCCTTGACAACGTTGCCGTTATTTGACAACTCATGCTGGCAGAATTTGTAAAAAAAAATCCTGGCAATTAAGGTGACATCTCTATTCTTAGCGGACTATAATACGGTTTGACACATTACCTATCGCATTATACTTTCTGAAAACATCGGATGTTGACAATTCTTCAACGACTATATCCTTCGAACTAGGTTTGTTGCCGAATTTCATTTTTGGAAATAAGCGCTAATAGACGGCTGGTAAATAAGTTTTTTTTTCACCCTAATTCTTTGTTTTTTACAAATTTGGTTCATATACACATTAACGTTAGACCTTTAGATTCCGTCATTTATTTTCATCTTATTTTCAATTATATTAGGACTAATGTTCATTGTTTCAAAGATCAGTCGTTTATTTTCAATTTCTCCGTCTTTTTAAAGTCCTCTCCACAAAGCAGTGTAAGCATTGGTCCAGGAAAGTGGATATTAGTAACCACCTCTTGTAATACGTCAGTGTCTGCATCAGTTATAACAGGTTTAGTATCAGAAATAAGGAAATTGAACAAAGAAGAGGCCAGTAATTGTTTCCACCAAAACTTGATAAGACACCAGAAATGGTGAAACAAAATGGTTATTTTTGTAGTGATTGTATAACATATTTAGGCTATAATTTTCGAATAAATTATATTTGCTCTAGTCCGTATTAAGTACTATTATAAAATAGTATTTTTGTTTATTGGATTTTATTCGTATATACCAATACTTAGTTTATATATATATATATATTATATATATATATATATATATATATATATATATATTGCTTGAACCTTTTAAGCCAAAAACTCGTGTCATATATTTAAATAACCTCGTTCGATCGAGATTTTCATATGAATGGTAAGTGTGGAGCTAAACTCGTTCAGAAATATCTAATGTGTTAACTGTATCTAAACGCTTTTTTGTATCAGTGATTAAAATGACATCAATGGCATAAATATGACTTAGCGAGGGCCTCGTATACAGACACTTCAGAATCACAGTATCAGTAAAAGCTTAAATGGATACAGTATGCAGTTCGAGGAGAAAATAATGATAGATGCTGACTTTCAAGCACAATGTTAGAAATGAAGCCCTGTTAGTGAACTTGAGAAACGTTTTTTTTTTCATTGAAAAAATTGTTTCGATAAAAGTATCTAAGAAATTTTAATCGAAGTGGGCAATGACAATGATTGCCGAATATTTACGCATAAAAACTAACTAATATCGTAATGGGCTTTTCTACTTGGTGTCTCGGTTGCATGAATTTAAGCGTGTCACTAGATTCACAACTAGGTCTCACTGTTTTACTGTTTAACTAGCTAGATACAAACCTAAATTCTATTCCAAAGTAAAAGTTTAAAAGACACTTTTCAAATAAGGAAATCCATTTTAAGATTTCTTGCCTCCCTACCATTTACAATCTGCAAAGATTTAAATAGAACGTCAATCAACGTCTACTCTCTTCCTAAGACCATTCCTTTTATTGACCTTTTTCTCACTCCTTACTATTCTCATCATTCCTTGTCTGCATCGTAGTGGCATTGTTAGCTAGCTTGGTGGTCAAACGATCAAAAATAAATTATAATTACTATTACAGTTCTCTGAGTTAAATACGGAATCACATTGAATGCGATAGTTTACTACAATTCTAAGCAGCCTCTGGAAATACGTGCTGAAGCACACCTACACATAATTTTTTCTCTAAAATTTTGATTCTCTCGATTTTTCTCTTCTCTAACTTCTAACACAAACACACACGCACATTCTTCAGAGTAATGAAGTAGCAACGATGGAATAAGTCTCATATATAAGGGGGCGATAAAATACAAGAAACGCTGATGAAACTTTTAAATCGAACAGATTAAATATACATAGAAGCGCTGATATAAAGTACATGTTATATCCAGATGTTTAACTTTATTTAAATTTAGTTTTTTATTAAGGTTTCTATCGCATGTGATATTTTCATATATCCACAATGTCATCGATATTGTTTTTTTTTGTTTTTACTCATACCATATTGTATCCTCTCTTATTTTATAAGATGTACTAGCAGTAGAGCCCGGCGTTGCCCGGGGATATAACAGTAAGAGATAGATCAAGTATCGACCATCATAAAGACTGAAAAATAAAATTTACAAAGATTATTGTTTAAGGTTGATGGACACGCATGTCTTAATTAGTTTTTTTTTTTTACGAATTGGTCAAACCCAAACTCAAACAAAACATTGTTTTCAATCGTTATGAGTCTACCGATTGAATAGAATTTTATTATAAACAATTGTATTGTCAATGGAATTTTAAAAGCATTCTGAATGTAAAAAATAAAGAAAAAAAGACAATAAGAAACACTACCTGCCAAAAAAAAAAAGTGAAGTTTTTTTGAAATCGGTTGAAAAAATGTAGGAAACTGATCCCATATAAAAACGAACACACACACACACACACACACACACACACACACACACACACACACACACACACAACAATGTAACCTGGGTTTTATAATAAATATAACTCGATATGAGTTGTCCCCTTTCATGGTGGCGACAGAATCGTGTTTTATCGTGTTTTCAAATTGATTTCGTGCAAAAACTATTATTGTTTTTTCCCATTTTTTGGCGCTGTCAGAATCACCGCAAGGTAATTTTACGCAGTCCTGTGAAGTTTTATTGAAATCGGTTGAAAAATGTAGGACCTTTGATCCAATATATAAACGTACAGACACACACACATACAATCTGCGTTTTATAATAAGTAAGATTCTATAATCTTGGATGTAAATTTATCGCAGAAGGCACCGACAATAGTCCATTTCAACACACTTTCCCTGTCACAGATATCAGGCTCTGTTATAACTATGGATACATAAAATATGAAAAATTAAAATTAAACCATAACATTACAGTATAGAATGCGATGGATAAATTGTCGAAATTTAAAATTTTTAATTCGCGCATGCGCGTTTTTTAATTTTTTTATTTTGTCGACTGCAGAGTATATTAGGGTTAATTGGGCACAGTCTGTGATAAAAAGATCACCATGACGCAGTTCACTCAGCCAGAAATTTGGAAACGTCATGCTGTACTTCTTGGCATTCGCACCCGAAGCTGCAATACGAACATTTCAGATTGTTTGGGTGTCAAGCTGAAGACAGTGCAGAGTATTTGGAGAGATTTGGATGATATATCCAATCAACAACATGGTGTTTGGCGTGATCACGAGTGATGGCGACGTTATGCCTCCATTCATCTTCTCACAGGGCCTCACACACAACACGGAAGCCTACATCAATACCTTGAGGAGTTAGTGCTGCCCTGGGTCAGTAGGGTGGATGCCGGAAGAACCTATATTTGGCAATTTTTGCGATCATATCACCCCTTACAACTGACTACTTAAACCGCTAGACAGCAAACCCATTGTTTATTATATGTGGGGAGCAGTTGAGAGGGAGACCAACAAAACTCCTTGTAACAGCAATGATCAATTGAAGGCAAAGATTATGAAATCAATCACCAACTTAAACAAGGACACCTTCCAGAAGAGATGCGGGAGATTCGAACTCATTTAGAGGCCGTGATTGAAGCCAGTAACGATTTTATTGAATAAATTTACTCTTTAGTATTTCAAGATATTGCGTGTAATTTGGTAAATATGTTTGTAAAATCTGTTAAGTCAGAGATATAAGTGAAGCATACATAAATGAATAATAATCGTTACGCAAGAGACCAACAAAACTTCTTGTACGACCAAAGATGAACCGAAAGCAAGCATTAAAGCAACACCCAAAGACCTGAACAAGGAGACCGTCCAGAAGAAGAACAGGAGATTCTGAACTCCTCTAGAGGTCGTGATTGAAGCCAATGGCGATTTTATTGAATATATTTACTCTTTTCTATGTCAAGATGTTCTTCTGTAAAAATGTAATGTCAGCGACAATTTACTCATCGCACCCTGTATGTGTTTGTCAGTATATACTGATTTTGGTATCTGCCACATTTGGGGTTTGCTGAATGGTTCAAACTGTAGCAAGTTTAAACAATAAGAAAGTATTCAATGTTTGAATGAAATTATAAATAAATATGAACATGATACTGACGCTGTAAATTCTTCTTAGATCTTCAGAGATTCGAGGTACTTATAGAATTAGTTATTGATTTGTGAATAATCGATGCCAACAGGTGTAATTCATTTAAATTTGTTTGTCTCGATTTCGAGATATGAATCATATAAATCCGTCCCTTTGAAACCCGATATCAATATATATATATATATATATATATATATATATATATATATATGTATGTATATAAATTAAATGTATATATGCTATTTTTCTATGTGTCCACGTGGCTTTTTGTACCTATATGCGTAGATTCTGTTGTCAGTGATAAATATTTGATTAAACGCTTCCCCGCATTTTCTCATACTTCACAGAAAAAAAGTGAGTTCAGCTCAAACAATATTAGTCAAGTCGGTCGATAAAAGTTTCTGATTTTATACCTGTCAAAAGTGATAAATCACCTTCAGATCAGGGGGAGGAAACTCATCAATGAGTTCTAGATGGCGCGCTAATCAGCATTCATTGTAAAACTCGCAGCCTTCGAGCCGCCTATTCCTGAATCACCTGCCACTCAACCACAGTGAATTTCTGATGGGCCACTTGAGCAAATA